TTGTCAAGCACATCATGCTGGTGACTTGAGGGCTGGGCCATCCACAACTTGAGAGCTTAATGAGGTACTGCAATCGTTACTTTTTTAGTCACTGGTCTCATGATAAAATGCAGCTGAGGAGAGGTTAGATCTCATCTGGGCTTGCAGTTCAGAGGAATCTGCCTTGTGGAGGAAGCCATGCAGAGGTAATAAAGGGAGCCATACAGAGGTAGTAGCATGGTCAATGGGGAAGACCGGGGAGCAGAGAAAGGAACAACATTTTTCCGACCAGCTTCATCCTTTTATTAAGTCCAGAACTCCCTACCACTATAGGGCAGTGCCATCCACATTCCCAGTGGGGTTTCCTTCCCCCAAGAAACTTTCTGTGGAGATTCCCTCACAGACAGGTCCATATGTGTGCCTCATTGATGCCCCCAGATACTTTTTAATCCAATCAGGTTGGCCGTTAAGATGAACCATCGTGGGCGCCTTCATCCATTGCTGTTTTATGTGGTACAGGAGTGCGTGAATCTGCTTAATCTTGTAGGAATGAGACCTTTCCAATGAAAATGTTAATGGCTGCATGGTGGGATTGGAAACAGTTGTGAAACCTTTATTTCCCAGCAGAGTACTCAAGGCATTTGTAGTTGAAAACACAGCAACTACCTGGGCATGGCACTCCCAGCCAGCACTTGAGAAACTGAGGCAGGAGGATTGCAACTGACCTGGGATACAAAGCAAGATCTTGTCTTAAAGCAAAGCAAACATGGTCTGCTGCATCTACGTCATGGTTGTTAGCTTGGTGTTCTTGTGTTGATCTAACAGTGCCAGTGGGATGTCTCTGACTCTTTTCCCTGCTCTTGGAACCCTTTTCCTCTACAGGGTTGGCTAACCCAACCCTGACATGAGCATTTGCGCCCAGTCCTTTTATATTTTGTTATGCCATGTTTGATTCATATCCCTGGGAAGAGTAGTGGATCTGGGAAAGAGAGAAAGTTCCAAGGGAGGCAAGAGTGGAGAGAGGAGAAACTAAAGTCGGGACGTAATGCATGAGAGAAGACCTTTCGACTAAATGTTTGCCATCACCAGCTATCAATTCCTAGGAAAGTTATCAATATCACATTCATATCATTATCTGTAAAGTGGAGATAACAATGGTATAGGCTAGTTTTAATTGTTCTGAAGATGGAGTTAATAGATACAGCGGGTCTTCCATGTCTTCAGTTTCCACCCCTCTTTGGAAAATATTTGAGAAAATAGGTTTTGCCTGTAGCAAATATGAAGACGTTTCTCTTGTTATTATTATGCAGATAGAACAACTATCTGTGTTGTTTTAAGTATTGCAAGTAATACGGAGGTGATTTAAAGTATATGCTAGCAGCCATTTAGTATATGTACAAATGTTATTATACCTTTAAAGAAAATCGTGATGCTGGAAATCAACCCAGGACCTTCGTGCTAAACAAGACCATTGAGCATCAGCTCCAGCCCTTGTGTTCATTTCAGACAGGGCCTCTATGTGACCCAGTGTGGCCTTGAACTCAGGACCCCCTTGTTCCAGCCTCCTGGATGCTGGATTGCCAGTCTGCACTGCCAAGCCCAGCTATGTCACTGCAGTGTTATTTCAAATATAGTTTTCTATAAGGGAGCTGAGCATCTGCAGATCTCGGTATCCATGGGGGTCCTGGAGCCAATCTTCCATGGATACAGAGAGACAGCAGTATATGGAAATCTCTGTATAATAAGTGTTGCATAAGCGCTAGCTGTTATTACTAAAAAGAGTGCTCGACTTTCAAGATGAATTATGCATTTTTCTCTAACAAAAAAAATTCTAATCAATCCAGATTTCTTTGCCTTTTCTGTCATAGTGCCTATGTGCAATATATTACCCAACAAATAATAAATGCACATAGGTGTGTGCTCTCTCTCTCTCTTCCCTCTCTAAATTACTTACTTTACATCCCAAGTACAGGCTCCCCTCCCTCCTCTCTTCCCAATCCTTCTCCACACCTCCCCTCCACGCCCTCAAATACCCCTCCTCCATATCCACTCAGAAAGAAAGGGAAAGGCATCCCATGGGCACCAGCAAAGGACAGCATCTCAAGCTGCCCTAAGCCCAAGAACCTCCCTCCGAATTCAGGCTGGACAAGGCAAGCCAGTGTGAGGAATAAGTTCCCAAGATTCAGCCAAAGCACCAGGGACAGCCCCTGATCATATCGTCAGGAGTTCCACAAACAGACCAAGCTACACAACTGTCACATACATGCAGAGGACCTAGGTCGGTCCCATGCAGGCTCCCTGGTTTTTGGTTCAGATTCTGATTTCCCATGAGCCAGCCTAGCCATTTCTATGTGTTTTCCTGTGATGTCCCTGACACCCCTGGCTCCTACAATACTTCTTCCCTCTCCTTAGTAGGACTCCCCTGGGTGAGCCCCAAGTTAACAACTGGGGTTGTCACCAACCCGGTCAGAGGGGATGACCAGTTCAGGGTCTTAGCTGGGGCCATCCATGTAGACTCATGGGAATTTCCATTGCATCAGGCTTCTGCCTGACCCAGAAAAGCACCCTTTTCCAGTCATCTCTTTTAGGACTCTCCCCCTCCAGCCACCCCTCAAGTTCCCATGCCCACCCAGGAAGTCTCCACTATTTCCCCTTCCCAGGGAGAGCTATGCATCCCTCCTTGGGTCCTCCTTGTTACCTAGCTATGAATTATAGCCTGGTTATCCTTTGTTTTACAGTTAACATACACATATGAGTGAACACGTTCAATGTTTATCTTTCTGGGTTTGGGTTACCTCACCCAGGATGATTTTTTAAAGTTCTATTCATTTGCCTTCAAATTTCCTGAAGTCGTTGTTTGTAACAGCAGAGTGATGCTCCATTGTGTAAATGTACCACATTTTTTTTTTTTTTAATCCATTCTTTGGTTGAAGGCATCTAGGTTAACTCCAGGTTCTGGCTATTATGACTAAAGCTGCTGTGAACATAGTTGAGCAAGTGTCCTTGTGGTATGAATGTACCTCCTTTGGGAATATGCCCAAGAGTGGGATCACTAGGTCTTGAGATAGATTGATTCCCAACTTTCTGAGAAATCTCCATACTGATTTCCACAGTGGCTGACCAAGTTTGCACTCCCATCAGCAATGGGGGAGTGTTCCCCTTGCTCCACATCCTCTCCAACATAAGCTATCATTTGTGTTTTTGATCTTAGCCATTCTAAGAGGCATAAGATGGAATCTCAAGGTAGTTTTGATTTGCATTTCCCTGATGGCTAAGGGTGATGAACATTTCTTTAACCATTTCTCTGCCATTTGAGATTCTTCTGTTGAGAATTCTCTGTTTAGGTCTGCACTGCCGTGGAAGAATCTTTTTTGTACATGAATATGTACAAATGTATGAATATGTGTTACTGTCAATGGTTACAAAAGAGCTGATGACCTACAGCTAGGCAGGGTCTTCGGGGAGAGGATGCTGGGAGGAGGAAGGGCAGAATCAGAGGAGTCTCTGGAGCAGAGGAAGCAGGACATATACAAAATGAGATAATGAGCCACTCCGCGGCAAGTAAATAAAGAGGAATGGGTAAATTTAGGTTGTAAGAGGTAGGTCAGTAACAAGCATAAGCTATCAGCGGAGCATTTATAATTAATATTAAGTCTCTGTGTGTTTATTTGGAAGTGGCTGGCAGGACAGAGCTGGCCAGTGGTCACAATGTAAAACTCTGCCGAAACTGTACCCTATTTTTAAATTATATTACTTGGTTTTTTAATAACTAGTTTCTTGAGTTCTTGGAGAGGATGTGGGGTTGGTTGAAAATCTTCTGTAGGCTGCTATTTTGTCCTGTTGACAGTGTCCTTTGCCTTACAGACAGTTTCATGAGGTTTTGCTTATTAATTGTAATTCTTATTATAGTCTGTGCTACTGGTGTTCTATTCAGGAAGTTGTCTCTGGAATTCAAAGATTCAAATTTGAAACTAATCTTTGGGACACTTACCTACTTTTATATAGTCTGAATGCTTTTCTAACTATTGCATTATTTACACTGGGAGCTGTCTCTTTGAGTTTGGTATTGTACTGTCTGGAGGTTTTATGGCATTTTCTTTGGTGGTTGTCACCTCTTTTAGATTTTTCTCTCCTCCCCTGTCATGTCAGTCTGTGACAGGCAAATTATATTTTATTTAGACTTATTTGCACTGAAAAGCAATCACCTGGGGGGAAAAAAGTGGACAAGAATGGACACTAAGACCCTGAAAAGAACATTCTACCTACGCCCAAAGCAGAAATCCTTGCATTTCCCACACGGCCCAGGCTGGCATTGAACTCAGGGCCTTGGACATCACAGTGGAATCCTGTATTTCTCCCTAAATAACCATGAAAAGTGGTGGCTTGGGGTATTTAAGGCAAGAGACTGACCACAGGACTTCCTGTGGTCTGTTTACTTTTAGATTGCAAATAAGCAAAGCCCAAGTTCTCAGCTTTAGGAGAACTTGTGCCAGTTTTACTTATTTTCAAAAGCAGAGTCTGCGTGTGTAATTAGAATTCCTGAGCCTCTTGTTCCAACCTCCAGTGTGGAGGGCTTCAACAGGCATGTACCACCATGCCTGGCCAGCTGATTTTCCTTAAAAGCAAGTAATGACTAACAGTCCAGAAACTTGAGCTGGGGAATGAGAAGTATGGACTTAAGTTTGTCTACCCGGTCAATAAGAAAGATTAGGCTGGGCGGTGGTGGCACATGCCTTTAATTCCAGCACTTGGGAGGCAGAGGCAGGCCTGGTCTACAGAATGGGTTCCAGGACAGACAAGGCTACACAGAAAAACCCTGTTTTGAAAAACCAAAAACAAAAAAGAAAGAAAGAAAGATTATTCCTGGTCCCAATTACTACAGGGGCCCTAAAAAAGTGGGAAAGGGAAGAAGGGCCAAGAAATGGAGATGTCATAGTTTAGCATGTGTGAGATCCTGTATATAATCCCTATACTGCAAAAGAAGAAGAAGAAAGCAATTTAAGAAAGTCAGTAGCTTTTTTTAAAATATGAAACACTTCATGAATTTTTGCTGCATTCTTGAACACGATCCATGCTAATCTCCTCTGCATCGTTCCAAATCTTTTAGTATATGCTCTGCCAAAGCGAGTACATAAGTAGCTTTCCTATATACTAACAGCTAATTTGGTAAGCAGGGAAGAAATTGGGGATTGGGCAGTCCCACTCACGATAGCTTTTAAAAAACAGGACTAAAACCAAGGGAGAGAAGGGTCTCTGTAACTGAAACTGTACGAGACTGAAAAGCAGAATATAAAGAAGACAGTAAGAGATGAAAGCTGCCCCGTGCTCATGAGTGGGCAGAAGTAGCATTGTGTAAATGGCTATGCTACTGAAAACAATCTACTGGCTCAAAGGAATCTCCATCAAATTTCCAATGAGTCCTGCACAGCACTGGGGGAATCAATCATAAAACCCATATGGGAGCACAAAGGGCCTTGAATAGCTAAGACAAAAAGCAATGCTCACAATATAAGATTTCAAATTACATTATGGAGCCACAGTAACGGGCACAAAACAGATCTGTAGATCACTGAAATAGAATAGAGGCCCCAGAAATAAACCACACAGCTATAGCTGCCTAATTTCTTGACAAAGATTTCAAAAATATACATTGGAGGAAAAAAATATGAAGCTATCAAAACTGGATCCCCACAGATAGATAAATGAAATTAGATACTTATCTCTTCACCCTGCACACATGCACATAAAGAATAAAAAATCAATTCAAAATGGATCAAATACTTTAATGTAAACCTAAAATTTTGAAACCGCTTGAGGTGAAAGACTTTAACATGTAGACTAGACATTCTAGGACAGCTTGGTAAAGGCACTTGCCGCCAAGCCTGACAGTCTGAGTTCGATTCCGTCGAACTCACATGACTGAAGCAGAGAACAAATTTCCACGAGTCGTTTCTAACGTCTCATGTGCTGTGTGACATGTGTAGGCACCCACACTCAGTCACATGTAAACACATAATGCATGTGAAGATTAGAACCTTTGCCCTTATGTTCTAGTGTCTTTGGTACAGGAAGGTGCTCTGCAGCCTACCAAAAGAGAAATGCAAACATCAGCCGAGCCACCAAACCCTTGATCTACAATGCTATCCTGTCTGCAAAATACACTAGGTCAGTGGTGGCACAAAGCTTGTAGGAGTAACCAACCGATGTATGATCTGACTCAAGGAGATGGGTGATCAGGAAACAGGCCAGATAGGTCAGAGACTTACGGTAAAGGCAAATACTACTGGTTCAAACAAACAAACAAGAAACTAAAAGCAATAAAATGACCCCGTAATGACATTCTGCCATACTCATAGATCAGTACCTTACTCGGCCATCATCAGAGAAGCTTCCTCCAGTATCAGATGGTTAGCACAGCCAGACATTGCACAAAGAGGGAATCCTTGGAACACAGGGCTCTAAATGGAATGTCTCCATCAAACCCCCCCCCCTCATATCTCAGGGAATCCCAAGGAACATGAGGCAGAAAGAATGTAAGAGGCAGATGGGATGGAGGGCAATCAAAAAAAAAAAAAAAAATGGCTCTCTAAATCTACTGAGCAAAGCTCCCATGAGCTCACAGAGACTGATGCAGCAAGCATACAGTCTACACCATGTACTCTGTGTGTCTATTATAGCTTTCAGGTTAGTGTTTTTATGCAGCACTAGGTCTCTTGTGTCTGCTCTTAGGGCTCTTTTCCTTCTGTTGGTTTGCCTTGTCCAACTTCGACGTGATTTGCTTTTTGTTTTGTTTTATCTCATTGTGTTATGTTCGGTTGTCGTCTCTTCGAAGCCTTTTCCTTTCTAATGAGAGACAGAAAAGGAGCGGATCTGGAGAGGAGGAGAGGCAGAGAGACTGGGAAGAGTGGGGAGAGGGGAAACTAATCAGGTTATAGTTTAAAAAAAAAAAAAAAACAAAGACAAGAGATAGAGGCACAAAGACTTTCTAATCAGGACTCGAGTAACATAGGAGAAAAATCCAAAAATTGACAAATGCAGCCGGCCGGGTGTGATGGCACACACCTTTCATTCCAGCCCTTGCAAGGCAGAGGCAGGAGAACTCTGTGAGTTTAAGGCCAGTTTAAGGTCTATGTAGCAAGTGCCCAGACTACCTGGAGAGACCCTGTCTCCGAAAACAGACAAACAAAAGGATTGACAAGTGAGAGGCAGTTAACGTCTACACAGCAACGGAAACTATCGCCAAAATGAAGAAGCAGCCTGCAGAGTGAGGGGAAATGTCTTTGTCACTTTCTCACCACCCAGGGGATAATATGCAAGACACATAAGCACCTTCAACAATTAATTGCCAAGATCCAAATCACCTAATGAACAAATGGGCCAATAAATTGAATAGGCAGTTCTGAAAAGAAGAAATAACAAATGACCAGTGAACACATGCAAAGTGTTCGGCATCCTTAGGCATCAGAGAAATGAAAACTATAACTACTTTAAGATTCCATTTCAGCAGAGTGTGGGGGTGCATACCTTTACTCCCAGCCCTTGGGAGACAGAGGCAGGCTGATCTCAAGGCCAGCCTGGTCTACAAAGTGAGTTCCAGGACAGCTAGAGCTATTACCCAAAGAAACCCTGTCTCGAAAAACAAACAAACAAGATTCCATTTCACTGACTCGGAAAGGCTATCATAGCGAAAGCAAATCACAACAAATGCTGGTGAGAATATGGGGAAGGAGGGACCCTTGTTGGCCGCTGATGAGAATGTGACCTTGTGCAAACACATGGGAATCAGTATGGAGTCCCTCAGAAACCTGCAAATAGGATTCCTATATGACCCAGAGTTATCACTGCTGGTGTCCACTCAAAGGCCTCCAGGTTAGCACAGTAGAGATTGTGCATCCATATTATAGCTCCGCTATTCACAAAAGCCAGGAAATGGGGCCAGCTTAGCTGTCTATCAGCAGATGAATGGATAAAGAAGATGTGGAGATACACACTATGACATTTTGTACAGCCACAAAGAAAAATGAAGCTGTGGCATTTTCAGGAAAATGGATGCAACTGCGTATCATCAGTAAGGGAAATAATGAATCTCAGAGAGACACACAACATGTATTTAGCCTCATGTACAGGACCTAAATTTAAGAGAGAGAGAGAGAGAGAGAGAGAGAGAGAGAGAGAGAGAGAGAGAAGTAGAAAAGGGGCTGTGATGAAGAAGAGTGAGGGGTTTAAGGGGGGATAGGAAACGGGGTGAGGGAGTAAACGTGGAGAGCGGCGGGATGGAATCACAGGGGGAGTGAAGGGACCAGCTGAAGTACAGAGGGAAGAGATAAGAGACAGCAAAGGAGATAATGGTTGGTAGCAAAGATGGCGCGCACATGTGTACAGATGCCATGATAGAACCCAGAACTTGGTATGCAAACTTGACGTGTGTGCATTTTGTTGCAAGATAGGGTAGCAATTTTGTAGCAATGGCTGTTTTGGAAATGTCTTTATAGATCGGGCTGGCCTCAAACTGGCAGCAATTTGTCAGCCTCTGCCTCTTGAGTGCTGGGATTAAAGGCGTGTGTGCTCAGCTAAAACCCACATTTTCAAAAAGAAAAAATATAAAAGCTAAGAAGAGTAGTCAGAGCGTTGCCTCCTTTTAAGGTGGAGAATTGGGTCACATATCCGCGACTACAGGTAGACTTCAGGAAGCTAGGAAAGATGGCCAGATGTTGTGGCATATGCCTGTGAGCTCAGCACTCAAAGACAGTCAAGTTGGTCTCTCTTGAGTTCAAGTCTGCCTGGACTGTATGGAGAGTTCCAGGCCACCAGGGCTAGAGAGTGAGGCCTGTATAAGGGAGGAGAAAGGGAAAACATGGAGAAAGCAAATGAATTCACTCCCAGATCTTTCAATAAAAGAGTACAGCCCTACCACACTTTGATTTTTAGTTCATAGCACTGGTGCCAGACATCTAACCTACAGAGCTGTAAGACTGGCATTGTTGGTAAGGTCAGTGACTATTGTATTGTTTATTTGCCTGGGTATTGTTGGTATTGATATTGCTTAAAGCTTCTACATGTGTGGCCATCCGTTATAGTGGCAAATAGAAACAAAGTAGTGTGAATGTGTAATATATATATGTATGTATGTATATGTATATTATATATGTGTATGTATATTACGTATATATCAGGAGACCTTTGAAGGGTGTAAACAAGTGAAAGTAATATGAAAAATCTTCTTTGTGTGCGCATGTGCGTGTGCGCACGCGCGCGCATTTGTGTGAGCATGCTTGTTCACGTTGGAGTGTGTGCTCATTTATGCATGTGGAGGCTACAGATTAACGTCAAGTGCCCCCCCCTCTTCTTTTAGAGATAGGGTCTCTCATAGAGCCAGGAGTTAGTCAAGTAGGCTATGCTGCTGGGCCAATAAGTCCCCTGGTCTTCCTGACCCCACTTCCCTGGGATCATAGGTGCTGTCCACGGTGCCTGGCTTTTTAATGTGTGTGCAGGAAATTTGGATTCAGGTCATCACGCTGCTGCAAGGACCTCGCCAATTGAGCTGTCTCTCCAGCACTAGAAAAATATCTTTACACATTATTTTCCAGAGTGGAAGACATTAAGAAGTCACCATATTTTGGGGATATATGTATGTATGTATGTATGTATGTATGTATATATTTGTAAGAATTTGAATTATCATAAGATTGTCATCCAAGCAATAGACATGCAGTTTCACCCATGATGACTTCCTGGTGGCAGGACCTAACCATTATAGAAATGAAATCCACCTACGTGATACCTAGCATCATATCTTTTCCTCACGTGTATATATCCAGACATCTGAGCATGTCATTATGAACTGATGACACCAAAGCCTAACAGGACTGGCCCCGCCTTTTTCCTGAGATCTCAGGGTTCATCAAAGCAGTCTGTCACTCTCTGGCTCCTTCCTGCCTCCCTCCAGCCTCGCGTTCACTATTACCCTTTGACCCCCATCATTATCTTCATTGTACCGGAGACCAAAGAGGTCACTGGCACACAAGGGAAGAGCCAGAGTAACGGCCTTTCTACCTGCAGCCCTGCTTTCTCCAGGGAAGTCCAGAGCCCCCCAAGGCAATCAGCCATGGGCGAAAGGCTTCCTCTCAGAGG